AGCATTTAATTTCACTGCTCCTCAATTCTGAAACAAACTTCCAGAAAACTGTGAAACTGTTGAAACACTGAGTTCCTTTAAATCAAAGCTAAAAGCCCATTTTTTCCTCAACTTGCCTGTTGCTGACATTCATTATTCAAACAAACTTGCTGTAGAATTACTTGGCATATCAAGTGTCTGGTGGCAGATTTCCTCAGGAAAACTTTCGCTGAAAACAAGACGGGCTTTCGCTCGTCAGTGTGCTTTTCGCAGAAACTATCAATTCAAATGAAAGCTATAATTAAAATATTAAGAGGAAAAACAAAAACACCTCACAATGCGTCAAGTCTCCTACTAAATCGCTGTCTGCTTCGGAGGAAAATAAACCAACAATGACCTACGAAGCAAATCAGACTAGTGGTGATTTTAGATAATGGTTAAGATCTGCTTCACCAAGAAAATTCGGGCTGGAATGAAACTCATTAATCATTTAAGCTTGCCCCCGTTCCCAAGGCCACAGTGCTCTCTGGAGACAATCCGACAAACGAAATTTATCACTGTTGCCCCGGAAAGTGTTCCTGTCAGTGTGACGGCGTTGCTGTGGACGTCCTCCAGCCCCGACAGTGACTCGTGCAAAGATTCGTAACATCAACATCCGACCAGAGTTCATCGTTTTTCAGTCTGCAGTCAGGAATGTCGGCCTTCAAGGGGAAGATTTGCAGAATTTTTTTCATGCAGGATTTATTTATCTGTTTTATGCTCTGCACTTTGTCTCAAATTAAAACTCCAGCTCATTGTATAATTAAGATTTATTGGCAATTTAAATGTCACATGTTTTGTCTTCTAAAAGATTCACCACAGATTTTTAAAATGCCTTTTCTTTCCAGCTGGCGTCATTCTTGAGTTTTATCAGGGCTGAATGTGACAATTCAGATTCCTTTTCAGAAGAAAGAGCAAACTACAAACTTCCCATCATGTTTATAATTTTCACATTAAAAGTAATAAATTCATCTTATAAGTTTAGATCAGTGAACATGCACAAGGAAAACAGTTATATCTATAAATCTATCACTGCAACATTTAAACTTCCAACAGTGCATTTGGATAAGATCCCTTAGCAGCAGTCAATAAAGAATATTTCCAATAAAGACACATATGTATGAATGTATGTATGCATGCATTTAAATGTGGTTTCATAAAAAAATCCCAGCACCTCTCCAGAAAAAAACGCATGTAAACTCCACAAAACCCAGAGTCCATCTCCATTTTCCACTTCAGTTATTTCAAATACAATTGATTTATTTGACTGAGAAAAAGAACTCGGCAATCCTAATGTAAATATTCTGATACAATAAATAGAAATGTGTGCTGGTTTAAGTAGCAGGAGAAATGTGATTTCTGTTCTGCTTCTACTCTCTCGATGCTCCCAAACAACGCTGTTGCTAGTTACAGCGACAGAAAGGTTTAAATGGGAAGAAGTGGGACAAAGGAACACCCATTTCTGTCAGATGTTATGTAAAAAGCCGAGGAGCAGACAGCAAGTTTTACAGCGTTGCATAACTGATCGAACTATGTGAGGCAGGAAAAACATCACAACATCGTTAGTGTGATGGTTTTCATCACGTAAAAGTTTGGGGCAAAACAAACTTCCAGTGAGCTCAACGATGTCCTCATTTCATGATGCATCTCCAAGTCAATACAGCAGAACAGAAGGGCGATGGCTACGTGAATAATAAGCAAATAATTGAATGGCACAAACATCCCACCAACTGTGATAATATCAGTTATGCTGAAACTGCAAAAAACATTAGTAATGCAACATTATGAATGGGTTGAAACAGAAGCGAGTGTGAACGGGAGGGGCTTGGAAACATTTACAGCTAGCAGCGCCAGATAGCTACATTTAAACAACTCGTCAGGTACTATCAGTTGAAAATCCTCCTCTATGCGTCGTACCTTCAGTCATTGTGGCTTCAGGTGAGTGGGAGTCCTGGCTCCAGTCATTCGTTCCAACAATCTGGACAACCAGGAGCCGCCTGAGGGGCACCAGGTCGGCTCCTTTCAGCCCGCTCTCCAACTGATGAATCAGGCTGCGCCCCGGCTGGCTGGTCACCACGGTAACCTGAGAAAACACGGAGGCGAACCGATTAAAAGCAACTTATCTAGAAACAATTCAAACCAGATGTGTTGTGAAAACATTAAAACAAACAAAAAAAGAAACTCCAAATATAATTTTGTCCTTATATTTAAAAAAAAAAATAGTCTTAAGACATTTTACAACACCAACTGTTGTACTACTAACTAATTATTAAGATTATTACGAGTTTAAAGAAGTGCAAGGTACAAGATAACCAAAACAGTTGTAGCTCATATATTTGTTTAACATTGTTTACCTTTTTGCTCTCAGCTCAAACACTCTGGACAGAGTTAAAATGAACTCTACTAGATACTAAAGTAATAAATGTGAACTTCTGAAATTAAAGACAACAAAGAAAACTCCAAAACACCGTCATGCTTATTATTCCATTCCTAAAGTGGAAAAGCTTTTTTTGTTTTTATGTCAGAAAGTGAGAAATAGTTCGTCAGTCTTTTTAAACGAAACGAGTAAATATCTGGTTTCACCTAAATCATGCGCGTGGATAAAAACTTGTACTGTATTAGTAGATTAGCGACAGGCGTGCAGACACTCATTCACAGGGTTATTATGCCTCTGTGTCTGGTAATAGGAGCTATTCATATCGGCTGATGTTGGGAACAGAGCGTCCCAGTGTGTCATCCACAAACTCCTCATCCAGAAACCACTGCGTCTGGAGTCTGTAGAGCATTAAAGTTTAACAAGCACAGATGGGACTGGTTCATCTTTCAACGGACTTTTAATCCCAAATTTGACAACCTGGAGTTTTAGCAACTTGTAAGAACATCTACACAAACATCATCACAATCAAGAGCTTTGAGTTGACTGAAATAAGCAGCGCTTCTAATGCTTTATAGATGCAGTGTGTTACAGGGATTGATGTAAGATGATAGTTTTACTCTGTAGTTAGAATAGTTTTGGCCGTTTACACCTCCGCAAATGTCTGAAAGTCAGCCACTGTGTCTTCTGTTCTGCTGACTGACCGAAACCGTCCACCAGGTCACGTCTGTATGTGAGCGGTTAACAACGGTCGCCACACTGCTGCCAAAGTAGCCACTTTCTTGCTATTTTTAGCACCTTTTCAGACAAAAAAAAATCAGAATGTCAAGCTTTCTGAAGACCGGCGATCAGCCGAAAAACTACAATCAGTGCCCCGCTTGCAATTATTAGTGAAACTATGCATGGTGTGGAAATTTAATTTGTATTGAAGTGTTACATGCTCAAATAGCAACAGTGGGGATGTAGCTCAGTGGTAGAGCGCATGCTTTGCATGTATGAGGTCCTGGGTTCAATCCCCAGCATCTCCAACTCCTTTTCCTCAGAGGTCTGTAGTTATACACCGACTTGAAGCACAAATCATGACCTGCAGATTGGATTGGAAAGTAAAAATCTGAAACTAAATGTAGTTTAATTCAAGAGACTGAAAATCTATTGACGGAGAGGTTTCCCTTTCCTCAATTTTTTCACTTCCAGTCCTAATCAAAGAAGGGTAAGAAAAAAAACAGCATGATGTTGAACTGGAGCAAAGTTTTTATCAGAAAGATCAACATCTTTAGCCTTCAGGATAGAGCTGACAGTTTCAGCTCTAAAAGTTAAGTGCAACAAAGTTTCTTTCTAAGATTTTTCTGACTCTTTTCTTTGCTGAACTTGTGACTTTTCCAAACGTATGATTCATTGACTGGTTTTCCTCCGCTGATCTGAGAAATTAAAGCTATCCAGCAGTACACTCAGAGTTCAATAAATCCCCTGCAAAAACTTTGCTAGACACCTGGCCTTTTCCAGAAAGACTCCAGTTCAGAGGAATAAAAAAAGAAGACTACAAGAGCCTTTATGTACCTCCACAGATGCGTTGCTGCAGGCCTGGTTGCCTGTGCTGGTGTGTCTGATAAACTGCTTAAACTGCTGCAGACTGTCCAGCACCGCCTGTCGCAGCAGATCGCCTCCTTTGGCTGCACTTTTGATGCAACTTTCACCTGGAATAGACCTCAGCTCCTCCACGCAGGACTGCAGCCTGGCCAAATTTCCACGGACCTGCTGTAAGCAGAAAAAACAGCCAGACTGAATGCGAATGGACAGAGAGAGAGAGGCATGAAAACATGCTTTTGTGATGTTCTCTAACCACAAATGGCAGCAGACACTCCGGCTGCCTGCTGATGGCGTAGAGGCTGAGTAGGGGTATCCTGCAGGGTCCATCCAGGCTGCAGGCCAGCGACAGGAAGTTGTCCAAGGCATCACAAAGCACGGAGCAAGTGTCTGACCAACCGGGGGGCAGTGCCTCCACAATCAGGACCCTCGCTGCTTGACGGGGCAACGAGGAGGACCAAAAGACCAAACTCCCCGCACTGGAAGAACTGGGTTGCCTCTTCCTGTTGTCCATGGGCTCCTGGAAGACAATGTGCACAACACACCAAAATAAATATGCAACTTTAAAGCAAAACCAAATCCTTTATCTAAAAAAAACAGAAAACTAATCAGACTGCTAGAATAACACGTGTGCATTTAAGGAGAGCATAACATGAATTAAATTCGTTGGACATTTGCAACTGCATAAAGAATAGCAGAGATATAATTTGTTTTTGTCCAGAGCATAGTTACATTTATTGCAATAGTTGACACGGAGTAGTTTTGTCCTTTCAATTGGAATGATTTCATGTTTGTTTCATCATGTTGCCTTAAATTTGTCCCTGAGTCTCTNACTGATCGAACTATGTGAGGCAGGAAAAACATCACAACATCGTTAGTGTGATGGTTTTCATCACGTAAAAGTTTGGGGCAAAACAAACTTCCAGTGAGCTCAACGATGTCCTCATTTCATGATGCATCTCCAAGTCAATACAGCAGAACAGAAGGGCGATGGCTACGTGAATAATAAGCAAATAATTGAATGGCACAAACATCCCACCAACTGTGATAATATCAGTTATGCTGAAACTGCAAAAAACATTAGTAATGCAACATTATGAATGGGTTGAAACAGAAGCGAGTGTGAACGGGAGGGGCTTGGAAACATTTACAGCTAGCAGCGCCAGATAGCTACATTTAAACAACTCGTCAGGTACTATCAGTTGAAAATCCTCCTCTATGCGTCGTACCTTCAGTCATTGTGGCTTCAGGTGAGTGGGAGTCCTGGCTCCAGTCATTCGTTCCAACAATCTGGACAACCAGGAGCCGCCTGAGGGGCACCAGGTCGGCTCCTTTCAGCCCGCTCTCCAACTGATGAATCAGGCTGCGCCCCGGCTGGCTGGTCACCACGGTAACCTGAGAAAACACGGAGGCGAACCGATTAAAAGCAACTTATCTAGAAACAATTCAAACCAGATGTGTTGTGAAAACATTAAAACAAACAAAAAAAGAAACTCCAAATATAATTTTGTCCTTATATTTAAAAAAAAAAATAGTCTTAAGACATTTTACAACACCAACTGTTGTACTACTAACTAATTATTAAGATTATTACGAGTTTAAAGAAGTGCAAGGTACAAGATAACCAAAACAGTTGTAGCTCATATATTTGTTTAACATTGTTTACCTTTTTGCTCTCAGCTCAAACACTCTGGACAGAGTTAAAATGAACTCTACTAGATACTAAAGTAATAAATGTGAACTTCTGAAATTAAAGACAACAAAGAAAACTCCAAAACACCGTCATGCTTATTATTCCATTCCTAAAGTGGAAAAGCTTTTTTTGTTTTTATGTCAGAAAGTGAGAAATAGTTCGTCAGTCTTTTTAAACGAAACGAGTAAATATCTGGTTTCACCTAAATCATGCGCGTGGATAAAAACTTGTACTGTATTAGTAGATTAGCGACAGGCGTGCAGACACTCATTCACAGGGTTATTATGCCTCTGTGTCTGGTAATAGGAGCTATTCATATCGGCTGATGTTGGGAACAGAGCGTCCCAGTGTGTCATCCACAAACTCCTCATCCAGAAACCACTGCGTCTGGAGTCTGTAGAGCATTAAAGTTTAACAAGCACAGATGGGACTGGTTCATCTTTCAACGGACTTTTAATCCCAAATTTGACAACCTGGAGTTTTAGCAACTTGTAAGAACATCTACACAAACATCATCACAATCAAGAGCTTTGAGTTGACTGAAATAAGCAGCGCTTCTAATGCTTTATAGATGCAGTGTGTTACAGGGATTGATGTAAGATGATAGTTTTACTCTGTAGTTAGAATAGTTTTGGCCGTTTACACCTCCGCAAATGTCTGAAAGTCAGCCACTGTGTCTTCTGTTCTGCTGACTGACCGAAACCGTCCACCAGGTCACGTCTGTATGTGAGCGGTTAACAACGGTCGCCACACTGCTGCCAAAGTAGCCACTTTCTTGCTATTTTTAGCACCTTTTCAGACAAAAAAAAATCAGAATGTCAAGCTTTCTGAAGACCGGCGATCAGCCGAAAAACTACAATCAGTGCCCCGCTTGCAATTATTAGTGAAACTATGCATGGTGTGGAAATTTAATTTGTATTGAAGTGTTACATGCTCAAATAGCAACAGTGGGGATGTAGCTCAGTGGTAGAGCGCATGCTTTGCATGTATGAGGTCCTGGGTTCAATCCCCAGCATCTCCAACTCCTTTTCCTCAGAGGTCTGTAGTTATACACCGACTTGAAGCACAAATCATGACCTGCAGATTGGATTGGAAAGTAAAAATCTGAAACTAAATGTAGTTTAATTCAAGAGACTGAAAATCTATTGACGGAGAGGTTTCCCTTTCCTCAATTTTTTCACTTCCAGTCCTAATCAAAGAAGGGTAAGAAAAAAAACAGCATGATGTTGAACTGGAGCAAAGTTTTTATCAGAAAGATCAACATATTTAGACTTCAGGATAGAGCTGACAGTTTCAGCTCTAAAAGTTAAGTGCAACGAAGTTTCTTTCTAAGATTTTTCTGACTCTTTTCTTTGCTGAACTTGTGACTTTTCCAAACGTATGATTCATTGACTGGTTTTCCTCCGCTGATCTGAGAAATTAAAGCTATCCAGCAGTACACTCAGAGTTCAATAAATCCCCTGCAAAAACTTTGCTAGACACCTGGCCTTTTCCAGAAAGACTCCAGTTCAGAGGAATAAAAAAAGAAGACTACAAGAGCCTTTATGTACCTCCACAGATGCGTTGCTGCAGGCCTGGTTGCCTGTGCTGGTGTGTCTGATAAACTGCTTAAACTGCTGCAGACTGTCCAGCACCGCCTGTCGCAGCAGATCGCCTCCTTTGGCTGCACTTTTGATGCAACTTTCACCTGGAATAGACCTCAGCTCCTCCACGCAGGACTGCAGCCTGGCCAAATTTCCACGGACCTGCTGTAAGCAGAAAAAACAGCCAGACTGAATGCGAATGGACAGAGAGAGAGAGGCATGAAAACATGCTTTTGTGATGTTCTCTAACCACAAATGGCAGCAGACACTCCGGCTGCCTGCTGATGGCGTAGAGGCTGAGTAGGGGTATCCTGCAGGGTCCATCCAGGCTGCAGGCCAGCGACAGGAAGTTGTCCAAGGCATCACAAAGCACGGAGCAAGTGTCTGACCAACCGGGGGGCAGTGCCTCCACAATCAGGACCCTCGCTGCTTGACGGGGCAACGAGGAGGACCAAAAGACCAAACTCCCCGCACTGGAAGAACTGGGTTGCCTCTTCCTGTTGTCCATGGGCTCCTGGAAGACAATGTGCACAACACACCAAAATAAATATGCAACTTTAAAGCAAAACCAAATCCTTTATCTAAAAAAAACAGAAAACTAATCAGACTGCTAGAATAACACGTGTGCATTTAAGGAGAGCATAACATGAATTAAATTCGTTGGACATTTGCAACTGCATAAAGAATAGCAGAGATATAATTTGTTTTTGTCCAGAGCATAGTTACATTTATTGCAATAGTTGACACGGAGTAGTTTTGTCCTTTCAATTGGAATGATTTCATGTTTGTTTCATCATGTTGCCTTAAATTTGTCCCTGAGTCTCTGCGGCAACATTTGTTTGTTAGAGTTTAAACACATAAAAAAATAAATTCACACCAAGCTGAATAAAGTGGCCAGGTGAGACACTGAGCCGGTGGTAAACTATGGAAGAAGAATAACTCAAGGTAGTTTACTTTTTGTTACCAGGCTGTGTCATCATCAGTTAGGAACATGTCCAACAAAACACTTCAGCGATCAAGCTGAAAATAACTGACAGATAATATTCTCCACAAAGACTGAGCTCCCACCATCTGTCTTCGACTGAATCCCTGTAACAAACCGAACCACCCATGACGACCACATCAAACACCTTTCACCCTCACACCTTCCACTTGCGTCATCTTTTTTTTTTTTTACTCGTCTGTGAAGAAAAAGTAATCAGACTCAGTCCAGCTGAGATGTATGGTCTCTGCAGGCATGCCTGTATTAGGCAGATGTTGGTTGAAGTGGATTTTTCTTTTCTTTTTCTTTTTTTTTTTTTTAACGGGTATTATTGCATTTCACAGGCTGGGAAATGGTGAGAAAATTTCACAGTAGTGCACAATAAATACATGTCTGTTTTCTTATTTTATACATTAAGTAGGCATGCTAAAATCACTCAGTCTGTGGCTGGGGTTTTTGGTTCAATTACTCGATTCGTGATTGCATTAGTGGCTGCATCATCGCCTCAAAAATAGGTTTTTATTTGCTGTCGCCGGCTGCAGTTTCACATTTTTCATTTGAGGTCTGAGAAACCCGGTTTTAACTAACTGACAACAAATACAAGTGTATTTAAACCTAAGTGTTCTGCTATGTGATGTTTATTATTATTATTATTGTTACCTGGAGTTGACATCAAACCAGACTTAATAAAGTTTATGCTTAACTGACACATACAAAATTTGGTTTCCATTAAAAAATTGGAAATTATATTTGTCTTGATTTCATAATTAAAAAATAAGGCAATATAAATACCTCTTTTTTTCCAAGGCATAATATTTGCTGTTGGTGCTTTTACGGTACAATGTCATTTTATTGACATTGTACCGTTACAACGTCAATAATATGTACAGTAGATGGACAATAGTTACTTTTTGGCTGAGTAAAAGCTCTATTTAAAACACACACAACAACTAACAAAGGCAGAGATCATTTGTTAATTTTAATATCTAGAAAACCTTTAGGGTTAAGTAGTTTTTTGGTGTTTCCTGATAACTTTAAACAGTTTTTTGTGTTAACTGAAGGAATTAATTATTTTAGTCTACTTTCAGACAAAATTATTTTGACGTAAGTTTAATTTTTCTATTGTACCTTGTGAATGCAGCTATTTTCTACATTAAACTAAGAATTTCTATCAAAATAAAGCACCAAAAAGAAAAACAAAACAATGCCTACAATCACAATGTATAAACACTTAGAAGCTATATCTTATTAAAATCAGGTTAGATATTGGCTTAGCTATTTTCTTTATCTCGCTTTAGCATTAGCTTAAACTAACTGTTATATAAACTTACTTATCCTTTATCTTGTAAAATGAAGAACTGCTAAATGAGCTACAGCTAGGCACTTTATATGTGAACAGCACCAACAACAAATGTTAGCAACTAAATCGGAAAGTTTTAACTGCTAAATTAAACCTAAAATCTGCCTGCCTAGATAGCGTGCTAACATTTGCTAGCGCTAACGGTATGCTAACTAGCTTCATCAGCTAACATCCGCTTGTAATTTATTTAAAAATCTCTTTACCTCTCATTTGGCTCTTTTCATAGCAATATTAAACTTACCTTTACGTTATATCCCGTTCTTTACGACTGAAATGCTTGAGCCAGTAAAAATAAATCTAGAGAATTATGTGGATAGGGATTGCTTAGGGATCAAACTTTTCAAACATTTACCATAAACAATATACAGCAGAAAACTTTGAAAGAGTTAATATCTACAATATCTTTATCTCTAAATAAAAACATAATTGCAAAGTTTAATCAAATTGATAGCAGGGATATTTTACTTACATGTAAAAATAAAAACAAAACAATTTGGTTCAAAGGATTGGCAACTTTATTTGGGTATGAACTACAGATGTGGCAATTTAAAAATTGCATGCTGAAGAACTATTTAATAAAATTGATTGATTTGTTTTATTTGAAAAGGAGGAAAGTTGACAGCATTTTTTTTTTTTTTTTTACATTTTCCTAAAACAAAAACTCACAATGTAAGTAAGATGGGGAAAGGAATTGGGATGGCAATAATCAGTTCTTCAATATTAGCTAAAATAATTCTGGTTGCTATGAGTACATTATTCGTATAGAGGACAGCAATCACTGGAACCGTATTACTGCCATCTAGTAGTAAGAAATATGGATATTTTTCCTAACTTTTCTCATTTGTCTTTAAATAGTATTTTAAA